TTTCAAAGGACAAAAGTGTGTGAGAAAAGTTTCAGAGCAGTGTTAACACTGTGATGAGGGGCCTATTCCTGTGGGTAAACTAACCCAAACAGTGGCATTAAGGAATTTAACTGGTGGAGGAGTCTAGCTGTAATGAAGGGAGTGGCTCTGCTGTGAGCCTGCTGTTAGACAGAGCCCGGTGTGGTTGTGGCAAATGGAAATTAAAAGGTTGAGGTAGCGGAATGTTTGAATTTCTAAATCTTTACGCCTAAAACTTTGCAACAAACCCACCCTTTGAACTCCCTGGGCAGCGCAGAGGAAGAGGGGCAGAGAAGGCATTTTATCAGTTTCAAAGAACGAGTCCTTTCATCTTTCTTGTTGGCCTTCTGGTGAGCTAATTAGCTGTTTCCTCTCCGCTGAATGTTTTGGGGTGGGCATGGCAGCAGTCCGAGGTTAAGGGGTGGCACTGGCCAGTGGGGAGATTACAGGTTTGGGTTGTTACCACGGCTTCTGGAACATGGAGCTGCGGGCATCACATGTGTTGGCACAGGGTGCGGGCACTTCAGATGTGGTCAGGGACATGTGGAAGCTTTCTAGGGTTTATCCTGCCCAGCCCAGTTTAGGGCTCTCAAGGGGAGAGAGAGCAGGCATTACAGCAGTCAAACCTGCATTCAGACAAACAAACATAGGGGTGCTGTGTGTGTGTGTGTGTGTGTGTGTGTGTGTGTGTGTGTGTGTGTGTGTGTGTGGGTGTGGGTGTGTGTGTGTGTGTGTGCTTTAGTTTGTGTGTGTGTGTGTGTGTGTGTGTGTGTGTGTGTGTGTGTGTGTGTGTGTGTGCTTTTAGGTTTGGATGTGTGGGTGTGTATGTTTGTCACTAGACTTTGGTTTTGAAGGATATAAATCAAAAGATACAGTGAAGGAAAATGTTGACATTTGTTCTATTTATGATGGGTAAATTGCTGACTCAAATGTGTGCATGTTGCATGTTAAGCTCCTTTAGGTTCACACTTTCCAATTTCAAGCTGACTAGGGGCTGTTAAGAGAATTAACAAGGAGTCAGAAGCATGTGAGTGGCAGGTTAGATATTTGTACTTCTATGTGAGCAGAAGTGCTGGATTGAATTGTAGGGCCATTTTTTTTGCCAAAGTTTAAATGTACTGCTTTAAATATTCTTGGTGTGAAGCTGTTTTAACTTTAAGTAAGATGAAAGCTTGGAGCACCATTCTGGCAGTGTATTTACCCTGGCCTATGATGTTGAGACAATGTTCCTCCTTGATGCCCAAGAAGGCCGGCTGACGGACACGTCGACTGAAAGACCTTGGAATTGAAGAGATTGGCAGCTCTATTTACATGCAGAGGACAAGGCCGTCGCAAAGCCAACATTCAAGTCAAAGACATGTCAAAACTGGCGTCAACAGTTCCCACGCTTTCCCAGCCAAAGTCTACGAACCGTGCACTGCTAATCTTTTTCACCACGGAACCCCCCACCCTAGCTCTTTTCTCCCTCTGTCACCAGTGCCCTGCCCTGACCCAACCAGCCGTATCTTCAATCATAAAGTCAGGGTTTCCCCCAATGGACGGCCAAGCTGCCTCCTCCTTTGTGGTGGATGTTAATTGGTTATTTTGGGCCCAGATTCCATGGATGGTATCTATTTCACATGTGACACTGGCAGTCTGTGAAGGCCCATAGAGCTGTGTGGGTAATTATTCTTAATGAGGCATAGAACGCTTTCATGGGTCTTTTCATTCACGCTGACTGGCTGGGATATACAGTGATAAATATCTTAGATTTCTCTTTTTCTGACTTAAGATTGATTGATTGATACGGATCAGTCTGACACAGAACTACTGCGTTTTTGATGTGAGGGAAGACTGCTCTGGTTTCAAGTGTTTTTACTTTGAAGCAACCTACCTCAGTATTATACATTATACATTAAACACAAATTAAAGGAAAAACCCGTAAGAAAATAACGTGAATCAACTGAACACATATGGACTCCAGAGACGAGGAGGTTTGTGTTGGTTTTTCCTTTAAGTTGCCTCCCATCTGTAAATAACAACATAACAACAGCTGTTTTTTTAATACTAGCACATGCAAAGTACACAGAAATACAATCCAAAATACAAATTGAATACAAATAAATCACAATCTTAACACAAGCCAGAAAAAAGGGCAAAAAATACACTATAAAACTAAATAAGTTAATTTAACTAAAAACAATGTTAATACTTATAACATCAAAAAGTTTAGGTAACACTTACTCAATTTTGTAAGTTAAAAAAATATTCTCGATCAAATGGCTTTAGTAATTTTAAGTTCCACTGACTTAAATTTGAAATTTTTATTAGTACTGTGAAAACAAAATACCCAGTAAAAGGTATTTAATCAACAATATTCTTTAACTTACACAATTGAGTTTGTGTTACTTAAAATGTTTGATAATCCGTTTTAACCATTTTTAAAATGAAAATAACTTGCATTACCGTGTATGTGAAAGTGTTTCCAATAGGGCCATTTCTCTTCAAGGAAGATTGAAAATGCATTTTAAATAGTCTGAGAGTGGTAGAAAATAAGTAGAAACGGGAAGTGTGGGCAAAAATGTGCATTTCTGCTAATTATGGAGCTCTGTTTGTTACTGTATGTGTAAATCCGTTAAGTAGTTTAATCCTTTGTGAGAGTGGTGTATAGTGGTGTAAAGTAACTAAGTCGGAAAGAAAAGATGCATTGCCACAGACTTAAGTACAAAACAGTCGATAAAAGCTACAACAGTAAAATGCTACTTAGTCATTAATGCATCAGTAACATCCATAACACTCACAGGGGCGACTACATCAATACTTACTTTCCTTTTTATACTTTAAATACATTTCGCTGATAGTACTGTCTGTGTCTGGTAATGATAGACCAGTGTACGAGTTTGTTTGTGTGGGTGTATGTGTTTTTTGTGGCTCTTTTCTTTTTTTAGCATTTAGCATCAAAGTGTGAGTTGCGTCAGGAGCAGCCAATTCTCTCACAGAAAGAGTACAATAAGTGGAATGTAAGAAACCAGTGAGAGTATCTCCACTAATGAAAGAGCAGCGGGAGTCTGTGTGAGGAACAAATCTCATTTTACAGCCTCACATTAGGCTCAGTTTTCTCGTGTATTTTGAGACTCTTTTCTCCCATATATCCCTCATGGTCAGCTGTGGCAGACGGCAGGGCAGTGGTGCATCGTGGGCCAGCTGCTGTTCCAAACACACTTGGAGTCTGAAGTGAACAGCTGGTTCTCTGAAAAATAGAAAAACTTTTTTGATAATTGGGGAAGGTTGTAATTCAGAGCTGCTTCTGTCTATTTGAGGTCCGTTAAGTACAGACTGCATCGAGCCTCGGAGAACGACGGACGGATCGGGACTCGTACTTCAGTGTCTGAAATAACCAATGCCCTTTTTTCAGTCGTGCTCAGATGATTTAGTGCTGCCAGCTAAATAACCAACATCGTTTGTGTGAATTGCTGTTTACATGTTGCTCTGTGTTAACTCATAGAATGACATACAGTAATTCCAAGTAGCTTGTAGACAGTAAGCAAACACAAAACCCATTTCTTTAGATGTTCTGCCAAAACGGAAATGGCGTGTTTTTGCTCATTTACTTCACCTCCTCTCCCCTCCTGTTTAGCAGCGTTACCCTCAAGAATCATTCTGATGAAATCTAAAAACAACAGTTTGAAAGCAGTCTGCTTTTCTATTTAACAACGACTAATAAGTTTTGGAAGCGTGTCTGTGGTCAGCGCTGATGGTTCCTCTGACGTCAACGCCGCCAAATTTGATTCCAAATGCCTTATTCTGTGTCGTATGCTTTTCTACTTCCCTCTAACAGTGCGTCTCGTGTGATCAAGCACATTTTTTACAACCTCAGAACTGTTTTAACACAACCAGATACACAGAAAGTGCCGGTGGCTTGGAAAGGCTGTAAATTGTGGCGGTCGGGCCAAGCATCCGTGTGTGATCCAAATGAGAGCCGTTTACTGCGCAGCCTCGCTTCTGTCTCACCAGTCAGCAACAGTAGCTGGCATGTTGAGGCTGAGCCTTCACTGGGTCGCTGGTCTTTTATGGATAGAGAGAAAATGCCCACTGTACTGTATCATGCCTCACTTGCAGAGAATAGTAGAGAATGCTGTTCCCATTTTAAATATGGACTCAGTGCTTGTTCTTGGTGATTTGGGGTCAGAATTGGTCCCTTTTATATCAGAGGAGCTGCAGCTGAAGAACCTCATTCTCACACCGTTACCACTTTCTGAAGTCACGTCAATGCATGCAACCCTTCCTCAGTGAGATCATTGTCTCCTCTGTGGAATAGCCTCACAGGTCAGAGGTCAGACTCTTCAGGGTTACAACCTTGACTCTAAACGTGTGCATGTTTTTCAATATTCCCTGTTGAGGGGTTAAAGGTGAGAAAGATGAGAGCCGAAGTGAAGGTCAAAGTGAAGCAGGTTATTTATCTGAGCCTGTGTTTTTGAGGATGTGCATTTGTAAAAGCGGACATCACACCAGAATGTGAGCTAGCAGCGGCCTCTCTGTACACAGATTGGGTGAGAGGGAGCCCCTCTGAGAGCAAACACTCCAGCTGAACAGAGGACACGTTTGACACGCCACTTCTCTCATCACTCAGGAATGTTTGAACAGAAAAGATTGGTGAATATTGTCCTAAATATTCAATTGTTCCAGGTTCAAACAGAGTTTTCCGAGCATAGCTAAACCCGGAGAGGGGGTGGGACTTCTCGGAATTTGGCCTTTCGCAAGATTCAATAAGTAAAGCAGTATGGAGTTAGATGAGAAGAGTGATACCATTCCCATATAGCCTTAGCTTAGGCTAAAGACTGAAAAAAGGGGGAAACAGCTAGGTCGGCTCTGTCTAACAGCAAAAAAAACTAAAACTTCTGTAGCCCTCTCTAAAGCCCACTAATAACAACACTAATATCTAGATATCCTTGTATATGTCAGGATGATGGAGGATGATGGAGTTGGTTTGTGTGTGTTTGCAGGGCATGGCTTTCTCCCTGGAGGAGCGTCTCCAGCTGGGGACCCACGGCCTGTTGCCTCCCTGCTTCATCAGCCAGGACATCCAGCTGCTCCGAGTGCTCAAAAACTACGACATGAAGAGGGACGACCTGGACAGGTGAGGCAGACATCCGAACACAGACAGAAACCTCTACTACCCTGACGTAGGAAAATAGAATTTTTATCTTCTATCAGCTTCATATGAGTAGAGTTAAGTTTCGCCTGGTCCCATAGAGGATTCCCCTGCCTCTGTGCACACTGAGACGTCCTACATCTGGAAGCCTTCAGAGCACGAGAGGCGGATTAGCGATCAGCCCTCTGAGATCTACATCCATCTCCCGACACTGCGTATTTCACTGAACAAATCTCCACACTCGTCTCTCCGTCTCCCCCCCCCCCGTTCCTCCTTCTCCTCCCTGTTCTCCTTCGTGAGTGTTTTCATAACCTCCGCGGTGACCAAATGAAAACTTCAGTTCGGTTTTGCATGCTTCATTAGGAGTTGAGGAGTCCTAGCTGTTAACATTATGTAATGAATCGACCTCATGCTAACATTTCAGTCTGGGCTCTTTGATCAACAAGATCCTCAAACTGAAGACACAGCCTGTTGAACTGTTTTGAATTATGCGCCAATGCTGAATCTTATCCGTCTGTGAAATTGCCTCTGTTTCCAGTCGCCATCTCTCAGTCAACCGTCCCGTCAGCTGTCACTCCTAATGTCAAGGATGAGTGAGTTGCTTGAGAGACAGGATGTAGGGTCAACAGGAACTAGACAGCTTCTTAAAATGCTGCCTCATTTTCCACCATAGCAACATCACAGCATCAACATCTAAAAACAGTCATTATGAGCTTGTCATTTCCATTCCCATGCCCTGTCAATGTCACTGTCAATCTGTCTCTGGGCCCTCCAGTGCGTTCCAAATTTGGGCTTTGGTCCCGTGGATTAAGGACTGCTATTTGCCTGCCATTGCTCAAGCCGGCTGTGTTTACTTACAGTTTGTTCCCCAACTCTGAATCCTTCTTTGGTATTTACTGCGGGTCGCTGTCACGTATTTTTTACGACTATTACTCCAATATTTCACTGCGTTCCATTCTATTTTAATCAGATATGTCGACTCCCATTTTTTCCTTTTGGTGGAATTTGTCGTGTCGGCTGAATTATTGTGACAAATTATGGCAAAGCACTGCAAGCACATACGTTAATGATCTGAGATGATGGAGTGGCTCAAGTCCCTACTGTGACTGTGTCGTCAACAGAGGAAATGGATGTTCAAAGCCCTTGCCAACTGAAATATATAAAAGTATATAAAATGCTACAGCTAAGGGGAAAACTCATACCCAGTGAGGTTGTTAGAAAGCAGTAAGAAGCCTAACATGGACCCGTTGATCACTCATGCAAAGATAGAGTAAGATGGAGATAGATTATGTGCTGGCTGCCTCCGTAGGTTGACTTTAAAGGAAACACTGCACTCGGTAAGTCAGCACGGATCCTGCTTTATAAAGCAGTGTGTACTGTAAATATTCCTGTTTCCTGGGTGTGGGTAGTGATCACGCCTTTTAAGGTTAAGAATGGAGAAAGAAACCTTCCTTAATGTTTGCCAGCATCAAATCAAACAATAGCTCACTGCAGTAATATGTCAGGATTTGATGTGGGGATTTAATTATAGATTTGTTTGATGAATCAGAGCAGCTGAGTGATACTGTGGAGTGAAGTCATCAAAATGTTACATTTCAAGTTAGTTGTGAGCACTTTTCAAACCTTTGTCTTTACTTTTCATTCTTAAAGGGGCCACTTTACAAGAAGATCAGTTTACTGTTCAATCTTTCACTCTGCCTGTGAAATCAAATCAATTATTTCTGTATTATTAGTTAATCTCATTTTCTGAAATAGTTAATTTATTTTCCATAAAAGGTCAAAAAGTAATGAAAAATGTCCATCAAGGTGACTTCTGCAAACCTAAAAATATTTAGTTTATTATAATGTAAAGACAAATACCAGTAACAAATTCTCACATTTGAGAGGCTGTTTGAAAAATGACTGAAACAATTAATTGATTGTCGAAATGGTGCTTGACTAATTTCAGTTTTCTTGTGGTCACCTAATCAGATAATTAGCAAATAGTTTTAGCTTAAATTTCAGCCTCAGAAGTCAGAGGGGCAACACCAAATTGCTGGAGCACCCCTTTAAGATTGAATAGAAAATTAACAGTTTGGTTCTGGTTCTTTTCCCATAATGTAAGGACTTGTAGTGTACCATAACAGCCTTGCATGGTGAAGATTGAGTGAAGATCCCATAATTTTAGACCTGAATCAGTCAGACACATAAATACAGACAAAGGTACAACCCTGCACACATGGGGATTCAAATAAGGGAGTGAAGTATGCATCCTATACAATATTATAAATGATAAATAATTAGTGTGAGCTTATATTCAATAACCATATGACACTTATACGACATGTTGTACAAACATCATGTTCTCACGTTGCTGTGGTCAACTGGGAACTTGTTAAACCTGTAAAGTATTTCACATGAAACTCATGAACTGAACATAAAATAAAAACAAAAAAATTGCAAAAACTTACTGACAAATAACAAGTTACCTTGTTTTGCTATTGCTTTCCACCACATCTCATGGCCTTCCTCAGCAGATGGAGTTTCATGGTGTTAGCACAGTGGTCACCCATTGGCCTCATCACTGTGACAACTCAGTAAACTCTATCTCTATACATGTGTTTTTTTTTTTTTTTTGTCAAACTGTTTCCAAAGTCATAAAATTAACTTTCATATAAAAACAACCAAAAAAATGTGTATGTGTCAGGTTTACAGCAAATAATCAATCTATGGCGAAATTGATTTCAGCTCCACACTGGGAGCCATACAGAAACCATTCATGTGATAAATTGCATGTGACAGAAGCTAATTTGCTTCACCAATATAAAAACCGTTCTCTTCAAGAGCAACTGTCACCACCGTGCATTGTGCAGCTGCTGTGGCCTAACCTATAGCAGAGAGGGCGTGCATGCTTTTTATCCCCTCAACAAGAGGCACCTTGTGCTCTTGGCTTTATGGAAACTTCTCTGATTAGGAATAGAGCCCTTTCTGGCGTGCTTTGCTTAATTTGGGTCATATGCAAACCCTCAGTTCCCGGTCAATCTACAATCAGAACAAAGACCTTGTGTAGGCTATCTGAGGGGCGGAATTTTATTCTGTGTATTTTTCCAATCATTCCGAACACAAGAAAAACAAATCCTTAGAAGTCATTATTGTACATGTGAGCCGAGTTCTTTTCTTCTCTTTGCTTCATTCTTCTTTTTTATAACCTCGCTGTAATATACATCGCTTTTCTCCGACGTACTCTCCTTTAAGTGTTCCCTTGCAGTTCCTCCATTCTTGCCTGGTACATCTCACTCATAAACACACAGGATTTAACATCTGACTTTAATAAACCCCTCCTCAGTTCAGCAGGTATGAGTCCTCAAGATGTTAAAGATTAACATGCTGTGTTTTCCTCCCCGCTCCTCCCTGTCAATCCCAGATATGTGTTTCTGATGGGGCTCCAGGACCGCAACGAGAAGCTGTTCTATCGGGCGCTAACGTCGGACATCGAGAGGTTCATGCCCATCATTTACACCCCTACTGTGGGCCTGGCCTGCCAGCAGTACGGCCTGATATTTAGAAGACCGAGGTGAGACACACTCACAACACTGAACATTGAGCAATCGTGAATTATAAAAAAGTGCAGTTAAAACCCAATTTGCACAAAGATTTGTTCCAGCTTATTTGCTGCGAATAGGCAGTAGGCCAAAAGGAAGCGGGTGATCCTGTTTTTTTTTCTATGTTCCCACAAAGTAAATCTTCCACCACTCAGTTATTAAGTGTTTTATGGTATTGGCAGTTTTATTGTTTTTGTTGCGGCCCTTGGTATCAGCCAGAATCTCAGCTGTATGGTACCAATATTCCACTTTGCAAGCTTTTCTCACAGCACACTGGAAAGAACCGACTAGTCACATGTTTTACACCAATCACCACCCACTGGCTCCTATATAAATGTTTGTCAGCGGCCATAACTGTAGTGGCATCTCACTTTTAAACCCATGCAATAATTCTATGTGCCTTTCACCCTGTTTTACGCAGTTTTTTTGAATTTGCACATAAAAAATTCTGAGTGAAAATGCTGAAAATTGAAAGAGAAAACTTTGGCTGAGGTGGAAAAGTTAGTGTATCGATAAAAGCAAAAGTGCAATGAAAACATTAGATCTTTTGTGAAGACTAACCTTACTCAATTGAATACATGAATGTCACATTTTATGTTTTCTACATTGTTTTCGACAGCTTGACGTTTGACAGGCGTTGTTTCGTTACGTTCTCTTCTTCTGACCCGACTGGATAGTGAGCATCACTGACTGTTTTTCTCAATTAACCTGTTCCTAATATTTGCATAACTGTAAATGCACAGGAAAATGAAAATGCAAATAATCTAGAAATTCTGTTGCAATTTCCAATATGCCACCTGTCACACCACTGTGATGTGTGCATTCTGAAAGGGTTTTAGAACCTGTTTTGTGAGTAAACCTGACCTGGAGAATTAGGAGAATCTTGTAGAACCTGTAAAATGTTAAACCATAAATACTACCTTGAAATGTCAGTGGAAAGGTTATTATGTAAAACACTTGGTCTCCAACAAAACAGGAACCAACTTCACTAAAATCTAATGTTCCCCCTTCTTGGCTGAAATCCCACTCTTACAATTTCATGTGTTTCAGATTTGTGTTAAATATATATTCAATCTGATTGCAATGCAAGAAATCATGGATATCATTTTTATTGATTAGAAATATTTTTTTACCCAGTGGATAATTCTTTTTTTTTTTTCACGCACAGGAATTTTCTGAACTTTTTGGGACATTATTTTGCCTGTGGCTCCTTTTTAAATTGGATTAAAAACCTTAAAGGCCTGCAGGTCTGCATCTACAAAAGCTACAGCAAATTGTCAAATGATTTGATGTCTTTCATTGCAACCAAAAACTCAAGGACTCTGACGGCATGTGTATGTATGTTAGAATTGGTCTTTGATGCTATAAAACCAAATTTGGAGGTTGCGGTAGCTCTTTCAGCTGCAGTTTGGTTAGACAGCTCAGCTCGAGGGAAACCGCTGTAAGCTGTTGAAATCAGTTCAGGGTTCACCTTGAGTGGATCTGGCTCTTCTCCGAGCAGACAGACGTTCATTGGTTTCCTCTCCTCATCTACTGTAAACACACTTTCACTCTCTGTCTCACACACACACACACACACATGCACACACCTTTCTGCTAGTATCTGTTTTCCCTCAGATAGGTTCATCAGGTCCAAGTCTCTCACTATCTGACAGCAACAACTCCTTAAGCAGTTATAGATATTGAGTTGATAGTGCTTTCATTCCCAGCGCTGCATTCAGGGCCTCTCTCTGTTTTACTTGGCCCTGCCTCCCTGCATTTAACCATATACTCAGGTGGATACAAGTTTTTTTTACACTAATGAGACCGATAGGAGAGAGACCACCCTAGTCAAATGTCCTTCACAGGCTCTTAAGCTCACTTACTGCTGGTAGCCATAATCTCTGGCGGATCTAAAAGGATACATATAAGCCAATAATCCACACAGTAACCTACAGTGGTTAGCTATTGTTGGTAACCAGCAGGCATATCCCCGAAGGTGATGGCCATTAGCTGAATCTAATTTTCATCATCAAGTTTTAGACAGTTAGCATGGTTTAACATTATAAAAACAGACTATAAAAGCAATTGTAGTAAGATGTTTGAGTCCCAGTCTTTTCCATCAATGTACAGTACATCTGCTCTTCAGCAAAGCCAGAATTTTCTAAATACTTAATTCAGTGATGGCTTCATTTACCATCACAAATGTTTCTGATTAGCTGTGAAACCCCAGTTTTCCTAATTTTGTCCAAGCAGTTTTATTATAAATGCTTACCTTGGGTACATTTAAAATACTTGGAAACCCAAGCTCTCCCTTGCACATAACTTTGTTACCCAACAGCTCCCTGTTTCCCTATCCCTGCAGAACTATGTGGAAAATATTCCTAGCATGCTTCCCTTTCTCTCACGCTGAACTGGCTGGAGGAGTCATTTTATACACTCCCTCAATCTCCCAGCGCAGTGGGCCAGGAGCTGCTGCCAGAGGCCCCGGGGTTGGGAGTCAGGCCTGTAGGAAATGTGTATTGGGGGATCAGTTAGCAGAATACACCGGGGACATCTCTGTCTATTACAGATTTGGGTTTTCAGCCATGCTGTTTCTCTCTGCTAACCCTGACTGAGAAAAAGGAGCGGGCTGAGACCATGATACATAAGAGTCTGCATTTATTGCATCTGTATATTGTCTCAATGTTTTTAGCCATGCTAGACTCTGGTTGGATGGCATATGTCAGTCGGTCGGTCCAACTCCTTGGTTTGGACTAAAATATCTCTAGTGAAAGGAAAATTTACAGACATTCGTGATCCTCAGATGACTTTAGTAATCCGCTAACTGTTCCTCGAGTGCAACCATGAGGTTGACACTTTGGTTTTTTCTTAAAATGAATTACAATTAAATTTGGTACAGATATTTATGGTTCCCAGATGATGCATCCTTATGACTTTGAGTGATACCTTAACAAAAATTGGATGGATTGCCCTGAAATTTGGTACAGGCAGGACGAATTGTACTAACTTCAGTGATCCTTTAACTTTTTGTGAAGCGCCATCATCCAGTCAAAATTTCACTTCATCCAGTGCTTTGGTTTATGACCAAACACCTGCCAAACTAACGGTATTCCCATCATCCTAAGCTGTACTTAGTGCTAATTAGCTAAATGTTAGCATGTTAACATGCTAAAACAACCAACCACTGTGCCTAACTATGCCCTCACAGATCCACTAGCATGGCTGTGGACTTTTATATGATCTTGAGGAATCAGCTCATGTCTCTGCTGGGTGGGTCTGAAGTGTAATGTATTCTTCTGTTTCTGTCTAAATATCATGCACAGGGCATTTTACTCACCATCGTCCTGTAGAAATTCCTGTAATGTATTACTGATGCGTGTGTGTGTGTGTGTGCATGCGTGGCTTCCAGTCGGACCACCATAGCAGCAGATTAGGTCTCTAATCACTGGCTCTCAGGTATAAAGACTTCTGTGTGGAAGCAGCAGCCTCTCCTTGTCTTGCCTGACTTTACCCGCTAATCTGCGGATGGAGACTAAACACTCTGACACCAGGCTCGGTACCCGAGGCCATAGGTCAAGCGCCATTAAGTGTCAAAACACGGCTGATTCACTGATCTTTAGATGGGGCAGAGGCAGGAAGGAGAGCTGGAAAAAGGAACACATTCACAGATTAGTGGACATGCTTACTTTTATTGGTTTGTAAGCTCATGAGCGGACACAGTGTTTTAGCAGAGAAAGTTAGTCTGTCTTCATTACACAAAGTTTATTTCTGTTTTCACCATAAATGTGGGTTGTGTACTTTGTTTGACAGCTGAAAGTACTCAGTTGTGATAAATGATAATGTTTTGTAGCAGAAAAGTGACCCCAAGTATTGCATGAAAGTAATTAGGTGTACTTCAGTCATTGCCAGTGTCACCGTGCCCTCTGTGGTGTACTGCTATAGAGTGTCTAAATAAACTTGTAATAGGCCCTTTTAAAGTAAGAGTCTGACTCTTCAAGGAGCTCTCAAGGTAAGTGACATGAGCCAATCCATCTTGCTGATGGAGATAAATGATCATTGGTAGCCCATTAGTGGATTCCTGGTTAAGGGTCAAGGGGTTAGCAACTCTGCTACTACAGCTGTCTGTCAGGAGCTGGAAAATAAGACATAGGTATTCTTAATCTCTCCAGAGATAGGGCAGGGTAAAGAGCAGATGCTTTCTTTTACTTCTGCCATTTCTAGCCTATGGGTCTTACTGCCTGTGTAAGTAAAGATAAAATATACCTATAAACTGCTCATTTCATGTTGGAAAGAGGCTGTATTTTATATTTTTACATAGTAAACAGTATTATCTGCTAGGTACCAAGCTGCTGCCCTAGAGGAGTTTGGGGTTAAATGCCTTGCTCAAGTTGTCTTATGACAACAATGGAGCTGTATGCCACAGAGGAATGACATTTTTGAGATATATCAGGCTTTGGATACACAGGCAATACTTGTTGGTAGGATCTATTTAATGTTAGAAGAATAGAATATTGTCAGCCTCATTCTTCTAAACTGGGAATGTAGGTCTGACTTGACGCACGACTCTTTCTTACCTCAAATTTCTCCCAAAAACTTTAGACCAGTGAATAGTGGAAGAGTAAAACCTAATATGTGTAATTTATAATATTGGCTAATAGCACACATTGTACTACATTATTATTATTAACAACCTGTATCATCATAACTACATTAGTATTTACAGTGTAGGCTGTCCAACCGTTAAACATTATCTGATTCATTATCAATTACATTAAAATGTACTGCAATATGACCTGAATACCGCCATGATTAGGTCTTGTAAGGCGGGTCCTTGACTAAAGTAGAGGGTGAGCTGCAGGAGGTTCTAAAGGCCTAATGAAAGGCATCAGCTGAAGCTGCCTCGGCCACCTCTGGAGTGGCACATGCTGGATGATGAAGTGTTCCAACCTTGCAGATTAGGGGCCTTTGAGCTGTGATCTCACCCCAGTCA